AATCAGCCCAGGGAAAGCCCCATGCCCCACAGTCCCCATGAGCGCTGTCCCCAGGGGTCAGGGTCACGCTGACCTACCAGTGTGTCCAGCCCCATCCTCCTGGCCATGGGGCAGGATGGGGGGCAGGCAGACTCACCCCCTGTCCCCCCACAGGTGGCCCTGCAGTGCCTGTGGAGCATCAAGATCGTGGTGCTGGTGAAGCCGGAGCACCAGCGGTGCATCAGCCACGTCCACACCTCCAGCGTGAAAACCGGAATTGCCAACACGCTGGGTAGGGCGGGGATGGGGCTGGGAGGTGACCCCGAGGGAGGGAACAGCCTGAGGGCCAGCACAGGACCCCCGGGCTCCCCCAGAGCTCAGCGGTGGCACATCCCTGCAGGGAACAAGGGAGCTGTGGGCGTCTCCTTCCTTTTCAATGGAACCTCATTTGGCTTTGTCAACTGCCACCTGGCCTCTGGCAGCGAGAAGACCCACAGGTGATGCAGAGATGGGGAGGGTGGGGCTGCCATGGGGCAGGTGGGTGTCTCAGGGGGCTGGAGGAGCCCTGAGGGGCTGTGGGGCTGCCCCTGTCCCCACCTGGCAGGAATAGAATGAGAAGTGTCCCCGGGGTGGCTCATGTGGTGCTGCTGTCCCCTTGCAGGCGTAACCAGAACTACAGTGACATCCTGCACTCCCTGGCTCTGGGGGACAAACGTCTGGGGGGCTTCGACCTCACCCTGCGCTTCACCCACCTCTTCTGGTTCGGGGACCTCAACTACCGCCTGGACATGGATGTGCAGGTGGGACCTGCGGTGCCAGGCTGGGGACAGCACGGGGAGAGGAGCCCAGAGGGTCACTGTCCCTTCCCTGGCACAGGACATCCTCACCCACATCGTCAAGAAGGAGTTTCAAGCCCTCCTGGCTGTTGACCAGCTCAACCTGGAGCGAGAGAAGAACAAAGTGTTCCTGCGGTTCAGTGAGTGTGGGGACAAGGGCGCTGCTCCTCCTGCTGGGACAGTGCCACCAGGGTCCCCACAGCCCTCCCCATGTCACCCCCAGCTCTCAAGGTCCCCTCTCCTGGCTCAGCACTGTACAAGGTGCTGAGAGCCTGGGGGACCTTGGTGTGCACCAGGCCAGGGGTGTGAGCCTGCTGTGGGGACAATGACACCCCGTGGGGACAGGCAGGACCCCATGCCACCTGTGTGTCCTGATTGCAGGTGAGGGTGACATCTCCTTCCCTCCCACGTACCGCTACGAGCGGGGCACCCGGGACACCTACGTGTGGCAGAAGTCCAAGCCCACAGGGGTGAGTCCAGAGGCGTCCCCTCCAAGTAGGACACCTCTGGGGACAGGGCCAGCAGGATGCTGAGGGGGCTGCATGGTGATGCTGTCCCCTCAGCTCCATCAGCCTGTTCCCTACCAAAACAGGGTCTGGGCAGGAGGGAACTCACTTTTTGGGGTGCTGGGATGCCCCTCTGTGCAGGGGGACCCAGAACTGAGGGGCTGCTGGACCAGCTGCTTTCTCTGTTTGTAGATGAGGATCAATGTCCCCTCGTGGTGTGACCGCATCCTATGGAAGTCACACCCGGAGACCCATGTGGTCTGTAACTCCTACGGTGAGTGAGACCCTTGGGGACACGGCGGCCAGGGGTGGCCAGTGCTGCCCAGGACCCCAGGGCTCTGGGACCCTCCCCAAGCTGTCGCTCCTGCCATCCAGGCTGCACTGATGACATCGTGACCAGTGACCACTCACCTGTCTTTGCCACCTTTGAGGTGGGAGTGACGTCTCAGTTTGTGCCCAAGGAGGGTAAGGGCTGGGGTCTGTCACCCCTGGGGCTGGGTTTGGGGTGAGTCCTGGCACACCCTGACTTGCCAGGACCTGCCTGCAGCTCCTGGCTCCGGCCCCGAGGCGCTGGCCTGCATCGAGTGGGAGAGCATCGAGGTGATCCTGAAAACCACGAGCCGTAGCAAGTGCTACATCGAGTTCCACTCCTACTGCCTGGAGGGTGAGGGGGTGCTGGGGTGCTGGGTGTGGCTGTGGGGGTGACCTGGCCTGGCTGGAGCTCTGTGTCCCTCTGTCCCCTCCAGAGGTGCAGCGGAGCGGGGAGAACACCTTCCAGAACTGTGACATCCCCGGGTTCCTCAAGCTGGGCTGGTCCTCCAAGCATCTGCCTGTGGTGCGTGGCCCTGGAGCATCCTCACCCCCATCCCTGCCTCTGGCTCTCTGCCCTGAACCCCAAGGCAGCTGCAGCTGTCACCAGCCCCAGGACAGAGCCTCCCTGTGCCCCCCACCCCTTGGCAGCCCCCTAAGCCTCCCCTCTCTGTGCACAGCTGAACCCCATCCTGCCCGACCTGGAGTACCTGGGGGACCAGCACCTGCTCCTCAGCATCAAGGGCGTGGAGAGCTGCGAGTCCTACGGTATATGGGGATGGTGACACTGGGGCCACCATGGTGGCAGAGGAGTGCCAAGCACAGCCCTCCCAGCTTACAGCCTGCTGGGTGTGCGGTTGGGAGCTTGGCAGGAGGGACCCTGGCACC